CAGATAACAAGTTTATATGCATAACTCTGAAAAACAAAGAATAGGTTAAATGCAAGAAATAGCAACTACTTTCTTTCATTTATTTGTTTATTGTAGGATTCTACTTTCATTTCTTCCTTTTACAACATTATACTTTGAAAATCTACAAACATTAACAATATGTAACAAACTCACCAGCCATCTAGGAGATTCAGGAATGAATAAAAGGCCTAGAATCTGTAGTATACATGGAATGATTCCTGTAAGAACATAACAACTATTGGATATAATCAAAAGATTTATTAAAGATTTGGAGAAATCATTGAAATTTATTTACCAATTAGAGCTAGTGTTCGCCAAGGAATGAAAGTTCCAATAAGCCACATTACAGATACTCCAATGCATATCATCAGCTGTAAATGGTGATATCAATGAAGTTAGGCATTAACAGCTTTTTATTAAAGGATGAATCTGGAGTAGTGAAAATATTTACAGCTTTTTATTACCTGATTAACAGTGGTAAATGCTCCACGAAGGTTTTGAGGTGTTATTTCTGCTATGTAAACTGGTACCTGTTTGTTATTATTCAAATTTGAGACTTTTTTTAATGTTACACAGAACAATATAGAAGAACAAAACATTTCAGAAATTGGTGTAACAGAATGAAGATGATGTTGCAATTACCACATAAGAGAGAACCCCAATTCCATATCCTATCAACAGTCTTCCAACATCCAGCAACCAAGAAACCTGTTTAAGAGTAATTACAAAAGTGATAAGATGAATGAGTACACAACAATGCAACATAAAAGAAAAAAAAAAAAAAAGAGAGAAGGAAAGGAATTGCCTTGGAATATAAAATTGCTAACCACCCCAACAAACAAAACATTTCAGAAAGCCCCATGGTCTGCATATCAGATCAAATCAAAGGGAAAAGGAAACTTTTTAAGATATAATGATAAACAAATGAATGATTTAAAAAAAAAACAAACATGTTCCATTGAACTTTTGTAGAGTTTGCTGCATTGTAGAACAAGAAAATGGTAAAGTTGTATGAAAGCACAATAATTTACCCTTCTCCTTCCAAGTTGATCAGCTATTTTCCCACTCATAACTGCACCTACCATTGCTCCAATTGTCAATATTGAACCAAAAACTGAATACTGCAATTAACCATGAAAACAAGATTGAGAAACTTGAGCACAATCAAAAATATATGAAAAACCTTACAATAATTAATTTCTGAAATGAATTTTTTAACAATTAAGACTCGTATATTAATATATTGATAATTGATTAGAGAAGTTTCACTTAAACATGCTGAGATTACCTCTTCTAAGGACATGCTAAGGTCATCCATAATTCCAGTCTGAGCTGGAGATGAAAAGCCAACCTGAGTATATATACACCAAACACATATAGAATTCTAGATTAGGGTTTATAAGAGAAGTCAACATGTTTTATGCATTATATTGACCATGGAAGACTCTGTTAGTTCAGGAAAAACAGTAACAAAGCAAATTTTTTAGTCTCCCATTTCTGCAAGTTTTTAATCCAAAGTTACCTTTTACCCAAATTTGATTGGAGACTCAAAATTTCTTTCAGCATATTCGTATGTTAAACAAGAAAATTAATATATAGTGCTCAATAGTAAATGCTGAAATTAAAGGAAGATTATCCTCAACATTCGTTCATCATATTTGACAACGATAGCTGTAGAACAGTTGACTTTTCATCTTATCTAATAACATGAATCATCCTACCCAAATTAATCAATTACAGTATTGAATTGAACTTAAGCTGCGTATCTTATTTCCATTGAAGTACAAATATCTATATTTTATGATATCATATCGATCATAGAGGAACTTACAGCAGAACCGAAAACGTAAGATCCAGAAACAGCTACCACAGTGCTGAACACAACCACGGGTGTCGCCGGAGAAGATGAATTGTTACTCCTCCGTTGCCGCCTATCTTCAGTGGTGATGAGCAATAAACTCTCCGAAGTACTCGGACCATCTCCGTTGCTTCTGCTTCCCATATCACTGTGTGTGTGTGAGAGAGAGATAGGCTACTGTCCTTGCATGTGAATGGCGGGGCTGTCTTCATCACCGGGAAAATACAAAAACTATAGTATTTAACTATTTAAGTACTTGCGCCCCAAACTATGGAATATTTTCATGTTTGGTCTCTTTATTTGAAAGGTTTTTGATTTTTGACAACTATAACCACGCATCATGAATTGTGACAGGGAAGTTTTAAAGCAATGTGAGGCTATGCCCCACACACACACACACACACACACACACACACACACACACACACACACACACACACACACACACACACACACATATATATATATATATATATATATATATATATATATATATAATATATATATATATATATATATGAAAAGTGAATATACCCTTAAGGGTATAAAAACTTAGGTACTCAAACCCACCATAAATACGACGTTTTGTTTGATATATTCATTATAATATTCTTAAACTTCAACACCTGACTTGATTTACTTTTAAGATTTTCGAAAATTTACTATTATCTTCCTCTTACATCAGATCTTTTTGCCGAACACCTACTAGGCTATATATATTGTAGTTGAAAATGAAAATTATGTAAGAGGAAGATAAATGAAAAATTTATAAAAATCTTTGAAGTAAATTAAGTTAGAAGTTGAAATATAAGAATATTGGACAATTACAATGTATATATATGATACAAAACGACGTAGTATGGTGAGTTTGGGTATCTAAGTTTATATATACCTTAAGGGTATATTCATTTTTTTTTCTCTCTCTCTCTCTCTCTCTCTCTATATATATATATATATATATATATATATATATATATATAAGTAAAACATCTTATGATTAACCCTTAGTCATTGATCTCACATGGCTTCTACAATATATGAATTTCTAAAGGGTAAATGTCACTGTAGCCCAACCAACTTACGTGTTTTGGTTTAAATGGTCACTTTTTTTTTGTGCATTCTAAGGGTACGAATTCATGTTTTTAGTATTTAAAAGGTCCCTTTAAGAGAAATGAAGGGGTCACCCGGTGAACCCCTTTTCTAATCACCTCCTAATGAGCAGGTTAATTATGCCAGTCGTTGCCACCCCATCCATTAATCTCTCTCTCTCTCTCTCTCTCTCTCTCTCTCTCTCTCTCTCTCTCTCTCTCTCTCTCTCCGCCGACGGAAAGCTCTAATCCCCCATTTCCTTCCCCCGCTAACGACCTCTACCATTCCCAATAGCACCTCAAAAACGCAAAAAATGTCAGGCACGCTACGTCAAAAAGAAGGAATAGGTTTATCACATCTCAAATTCCATGGAACTAGACATGCTCTTCTGTTCTTACTGCCCCTGCTACACACCCAAAGTCTTTATTTGATCGGATATTATTTGGTTTCAAATGGTCCTAAACTGCACCCAGTTTCAATAGTCATGGTTGTGCCTGTTATTCAAGCCATGTTACTTCAAAAGGGCTAACAGGGGAAGAAGATGAGCTACGCACCTCAACTGTTCGATGAAATGCATAACAAAGAAAAAAAATGCTTTGCTCAATGCTTATATGACATATTCAACTCCACACCGGTCCTTACTAAGTCTTGTGGGATGATATGTTGTTCTACATTACACATCACACCCCCTACATCAAAATGCCAACAAGAACATGGGTTTGAAATCTGGCAGTACAACATGATATTTCCGTTTTAGCAATTGAATATGGCTTTTCAAGTCCGATCAACAAAGTTATAGTAACTCCTTGACCACCATGATAAGTCTCTACCCACCACCAGTTGTAGTGGTCTGAATCCATGTAAATTGACATGTGCAAATTGCTCAGATGAGAAGCAAGTAATCTATCAAATCAGAGTGGTGGAAAGGCCTACCGGGATAATGATGTTGTCATGAGATCTAATCAATCGGAGAGAATCAGAACCAACCACCATGTTTGAATCTTAGATAATCCTCTGTTTATGTTTCACCTTGTTCATGGATTTTAAGAGTATAATACTCATTAAATAAACTTGGTATATATGCAAATAAAGAAATCTAAGAAAGATTGGCGGTGGACGACGGCTCCGGTGAACTAATCGGCTGCTGCAATCAAGCCAAGAGAACGTTTCCTGCACCACCATCCAATTTGGGGGCGACCACAATGGCAACGGTGTTCCGATTACAGACGACGAAGAAGAGAACGTTTCCTTCTTTTTTCCAGATTTAACATTCAATCGGAATATCATAGAAGGATGTCCGACAAGCCGTTCTTTGAAGTGAAGGGTCACGTTCTCTTCCTTTCTTTGTACCGACATACCCAAAAAAGTTAAGAATTTGTTTTAATTAACTTTTAAAAAATATATAGAAAAGTCAATATACTAATGGCAACCGGTAAACCGGAAAGAAATATGGTGGTTCCTCTTTTAAACAGGTAAAATCAAAGTTTAAGCACTTAGACTACTAAAAAAAACAAAAGGGACCTTTTAAACCAAAACACATAAGTTGGTTGGGCTACAGTGACATTTACCCATTTCTAAATATAGCCTACTATTCAAGAACAATTAATTCATGCAAATCTTTCTATACTAATAAAAGAATGTCACTTACCCATTTCTAAATATAGCCTACTATTCAAGAACAATTAATTCATGCAAATCTTTCTATACTAATAAAAGAATAGTTATTAGTGTCACTTATAATTTTCTCATAATTTATATTTTTTTTTTCAAATGCTCTATAAAAATGACACTTGTCATTTTCTCATCATTTTTTATTTTTTAAAAAGTATTAATGTCGATAACAAGTTAGACAATTATTTATTTCATCCATGATTTTTAGAAGAAATTTAAATTCGTCTTGAATAAGTTTCAGTTATGATTGCTGATAATTAATTGTATTTTCTACAATATCATGTTTAATTAATAATATATTGAAAATAACTGATTAATAATTATGAGTTTTTGCTATAAAAATTTAATTATTTCTATCGTTCCCACTTCCCACGATAGTATTTTATTATTCATATCACATTGTATCTTTAATCTTTTTACAACTAGTTCCCAATATTTTGCATTTTACTACACGTTATATAACAATGTCTGAAACTTTCAAAATAAGCTCCAAAAAAATACACTTTACACGACAATTAATAGTTTCTAGGTCCAAAAAATGGATTCTATAACTTTTGAATCAAATATTGTATAAAATCATTATATTCTAATCTTTCATATCATGTCATGTAATCAAGTTTCTATAGAGGTGTTCATGGATGCTTGAATTTCTTCTAGTGTACGACCCTTGGTCTCTGGAACTAATTTTGCAACAAACAAAACAGTCACACAGCATATGCTTGAAAACATGAAAAATGTTCCTGTGGTAGAAATAAATACATCCATCAACTCCATAAATATACAACCATTGTAACCAATATTTTCTTGTATGTGTGTGTGTGAGAGAGAGAGAGAGAGAGAGAGAGAGAGAGAGGACCTTGAGTGCTGTATTCCATCAAGAAGTTAAAAGAATACGAAACAACCCAAGAACCAAACCAGTTAACTAGTGTCACAAGGCTTCCAGCTGAACTCTTAATATTCATAGGAAAGATCTGAAAGCAAAAATATTTAGTTATTAAAAACAACACCAATTACCATTTTAAATTATTTTTTTGTCATGTGAATCTCAAATATTATATATGTAAATAAGCTGAATAAAAGCCATACTTCAGACATAATGACCCATGGAATCCCCCCCATGCCCAATGAATAGGATCCTTTAAAAACCTGCTTACAATTCATCTCATAATTTAAATTCATAAATATAAAAGCTGGAAACTGAATTATAAAGCCACATAAAATTAAACTTTTGATTAGTGTAGAATTCCATTACCAATACTCCAACAAGTGCTAAAATAGGGCTTAACCCTTTATTCTCTTGAAGGTGGTCCTACAGGGGCAAATTAGACTTTACTTCATGAGTTTTGGGCCAGAAAATAAAATGAAAGTGGAGATTAAATTTTAATATTTTATATAATATAAATAAACAAACCTGTAGGAAAAATGATATCCCTAGAAGCAAACAACCCAAGCAAGTTCCACTAGCAGAAACCTTAAGAAAAAAAAAACAATTTATTTCTTGCATTTATCCCTAGAATTAATCTATGAAAAAATATATAAATAAATGATTTGTGAAAAGAGGATAAAGTTTGTACCATTAGTAGAGGCCTTCTACCTGAAACATCCATCAAAAGTACACCTAAAATGGTGAATGGAATCTGCAAAGACACATTTCAGTAATTATAAAAACAGTAAATTACACAAATCGTCCCTAAGGTTTGGGGTAATCTGTGTGTTTAGTCCCTAACTATTTTTTTTTTTTAAGTCGGACCGTCCCTGGAGTGTTCTTTTACTACGGTTTTTTTTTACCTGAAATGACTATATTGCCCTTACCAATTTTTTTTTTTTTATTTTCTTAAGAGGGTGTTTAGGGGAAAGGGGGTGGGTCCATGTTATTTTTTTAATATAAAAACAATAAAGAAATCAATAAGGGTAAATTAGTCTTTTTTTTTTCATTGATTAGGGACCAAAACCAAAACAAAATCAAACAATATGGACTGTCCGAGTTATACAAAAAAAAGTTAGGGACCAAACACACAGATTACCCCAAACCACAAGGACCATTTATGTAATTTACTCTTGTAAAAGAGATTGCCAAAATTAAAGATGTCAACTACTTGAAAGTATGAATAACCTGAACAAGAACCAATGCTATTGATCCAATAGTACTTGAAAAACCTGTAAAATAACAATACAGTTTCATCAACATATTTTTTTTTTATCCAAAATCATATATCCCCATTAAAAAAAATTAAAAATTAAAAAGCTTAACCCAAGAGCATGATCCTTACCAGCAGAAATAAAGATGGAATTTGCATAAAATGCAATAGCATTCACTCCACCAAATTGTTGTAATACCATAAGTCCAACTCCAATCTAAAATACAATTATCACAATATGAATTAAATCCTACGAATAATAAATGATATTATTTATAAATGGAAAGACTTACAATCAGAGATTTGGCATATTCTTGTTGAAACAAATCAAAGACTCTACTTTCTGATAGCTCATCAAGTGTTTCTGTGTAATCCTGTATTATAAACAGAAAGAAAAATATATTCCCATTGATTTAAAAAAAAAAAAAAAAAAAAAGTTGTTAACTCTGATTTCAGCAGCTTCTTCAGAGATTTCTGCATTCTCTCCCCTAAGTTTTTGTAGAGCATTCTCACATTCTTTCCATAAACCGATTTTTGCCTGCAAAAAGCTAGTTATAATCTTCTCTCATATGGAAAATAAAAAATTGGTGGAAAAAAGGTTTTAGACTTTTAGTAATTTGCTATTAAGTTAAATGCAAGAAATAGAAAAATAATTTGATTGGTTTGTTAATTATAACATTTTAATTTTTAAATAAAACTCACCAGCCATCTAGGAGATTCAGGGATGAAGAACAGGCCTACAACCTGTAGTACACATGGAATGCCTCCTAAATGGATATAACATAACAACTATTTGTCTGATTAAAATGTCTTCAAGATTTATAAAACATCATTGAAGTTTAAAAGAAATTTACCAATAAGAGCTAGCGTACGCCAATGAATAAGAATTCCAAGAAGCCACATTACAGATATTCCAATAGATATCATCAGCTGTAATAAATCATAAATGGTGCTCAATGCATTCAGTCATTAGTCAACATTTGTTGATATTGTATTTAACCAATTTGCAATTACCTGATTAACATCGGTAAATGATCCACGAAGGTTTTTGGGTGTTATTTCTGCTATGTAAACTGGTACCTATTTGGTTATTTGAAGATGAAATCTTACAAATGTCAAAGAATAAGGAAATCAGTGTAACATACTGAAGAATATCCTGCAATTACCACATAGGAGATAACCCCAACTCCATATCCTATTGATAATCTTCCAGCATCAAGCAACCAAGAAGCCTGTTACCAATAATTAAAAAGCAATGAGATGCATGAACTTTAGAGGACTACATACAATAAACAGCAACATACTTTCATTTATTTGTCTATTATGAATGATCACATCAAGATCTATGAAAAAAAAAAAGATGAAAAAGGGGTAAGACTTGCCTCAGAATATAAAATTGCTAACCACCCGAACAAACAAAACACTTGAGATAGTCCCATGCTCTGCATATCATATCATATCATATCATATCATATCAAATCAAATAGTAAGAGAACAAAAGAACAAGAATACAAAATAATAACAACAGCAAGTTACAGGTAAAACAAAAACAAACCATTTTCCTTCCAAATTGATCGGCTATTTTCCCACTCATAACTGCACCAACCATGGCTCCAATTGTCAATATTGAACCAAAAACTGAGTACTGCAAGTAATCATGAAAACAAGATGGAGAAGACGAAAGAAGTATAATCATAAGATTTCTGTAACCCTAAATTAGCATTGAGAAATGTGAATTTGAATCATAACATTTCCTATGAGAAGCCACACTTACATGCACAAGAGGAAAGCATAAGCATAAGAAACTTCACTTAAACATGTTATATGAACATATTACACTTTTTTTTGTGACCAAAAATGACATTACCTCTTCCAAGGACATGCCAAGATCATCCATGATTCCCATCTGAGCTGGAGATGAAAAGCCAACCTGTGTATCAACCATAGATTAGTTTTCATAAAAAAAATTAACCTAATTTGTGCATTAGTAAGCTTAAAATAAGTTCCCTTTTTGAGAGTCCTATATGAGCTCACAGTTTTCCTTTTCCTTTTTTGCAGATGTTCAATCCAAATTACCTTTACGTAATTATTCACAAATTCGGATGCCATTGGTTTTGATCTAAAAAAATCTTCTATCGTTAGAAGATATTTTTAGATGTAATCATCAACAAATTTTACTTATGTGTCAGCCAAACACTGTGTATTTTTATATTGTTATGAATTCTGAAATTAACAAAAAAAGTAGCCCTCAAAATTAAATATATGGACTTACTGTTGCGTATCCTATTCCATCTTATCTCACAAAATCGATAATCCTAATGAAATCGATTACTGTACTGATGAACTCATGCTGTGTACCCTATTTCATAGGCTGTATCTACAGAAATTCAAATAAATATAATATTGATTGCAGAAAAACTTACAGCAGAACCGTAAACGAAAGATCCACAGACAGCCACCAAAGTGCTAAACACAACCACCGCTGTCGCTGGAGAAGACGACTGATTGCTCCGACGTTTCCCACTGACGTCAGTGGTGGTGAGCAAAGAGCTATCCAGAGTACTCGGACCATCTTCTTCTTCGCTTCTACTATTCATGTCTGTTGATGGCGCGCTGACTGCCTCTCTTTCAGCCACCGGCGAAGAAAAACAAAAACTAAATCAGTAAATTTAAATAATAACCCTCAAACTATTGAAAGATTTCAATTCTAGACCGTTATAGTGGAACGGTAAGCATTTGTACTGAAACTATATATTGACATATCGAGTATGGTTTGGATAAAACCGAATTATCGAATTGTCCAAACTATATATTGAAAACCAAAATCAATTTGGATCTGATCGGATTTGAATTGTAATTGGATCGGATCAGATCGGATTTGAATTTAGTTTGGACAATTCGGATCTATGTTTGGAAAACCGAAATCAATTTGGATTTACTTGATTGGATTGGATCAAACCGATCCATCCAAACGAACACTCCTAGTTTTCAATACTATATGAGCTTCTCCATCCGCCGTGCATTTTTGTGTTAAAACAACACCACAACACCATTTTATTGGGTTTTTGGTTTATGGTTGGAATTGCTCTAATACATGTTCGTAACCTAAACCAATAGTAATACCTAAGAACCAATTATTAACGAACCTAAAAAAATATTTTAAATTTAATAAAGATAAACTTAGATTAATTGATTTATAATTTTAGTGAACGCCCTTTGATGCGACATCGACCTCCGGCGAGTCTTCTAGTCTTCTGCTGCGGTGGAGATCTGGATATCACAGTGCAAAGTCGTTGGAGCCGTCCCAGGGACTGTGCCCCGGGAGCGGACTCCGATGGTCAAGTTAGATCAGCTAGAAGATATGAGATGGTTCTCCATAGCTGGGGGGAACCATCTTGGTGCTAGTGGTGGTATATAGTGGCTGACGGCGGAGGGTATAGTGGCTGACGGCGGAGGGTGGCGGCTGAGCCACCCGGCCGGAGTATAGTGGCGGCTGAGCCAAAGGGAAGGATCCTCCTCCATGGAGGAGGTACTGTTCATTATATAGGGGACAATTAGGTCAAGGGGAATTAGGGCAGGCCTTGGGCCAGCCCAATTCAGGCCCAACTAGCAAGGAGTTGGGCAAGGCCGGCCGAAGGCGCCGGGCGAGGCTGGCGGGCACGCCCCAGGCAAGGCTGGCTGGTGCGCACCAGGAAAGGATGGCAAGGGAGTGTCAGGCGAGGGAGTGCCAGGCGAGGGAGGGCCAGGCGAGGGAGCGCCTGGCCGGGCCGGCAGGAGAGTCCCCAGCAGGGCTGGCAAGGGAGTCCCCAGCAAGGCTCGTAGGGGAACGTCAGGCAGGGCTGGCAGGAGCGCGCCAGGCCAGGCTGGCGTGCTGGAGCAGTTTGGGCCATGCTAGTGGACCATATATCATCAAGTCCCCCCAGTCTGGTGTTATTGGTACGCGGCCAATGACATCGGACTGGAACTAGTCATATAAACCAACAGGAGAGTCCCCATCGAGGTTGGCAAGGGAGTCCCCAGCAAGGTTGGCAGGAGAACGCCAGACAAGGCTGGCAGGAGCGCGCCAGGCCAGGCTGGCGTGCTAGAGCAGTCTAGGCCAAGCCAATGGACCATATATCATCACCCTTCAATCTTAAGCTATCCAAGTCAATTAGCTAGTAACGAGTAGCAGGTAGCTAGTATCTTTTTGTTAAATATTACGTGAAATAACTTTTAGATTTGAAACGTTTTGTTTAAATTAAATGTTAAAATCTTGTAATGTCAAACGAGGTTTTTAAGCTTCCAAATATTCTGTGTCAAACACACTCTAGCCAGTTATATTTTAAACTTTGACTATAGCAACTTTAAAAATCAAAATATTTGTAACATCCCAATCTTCAAATAATTTTAAATTCATCCATTGGGTTGTAATTATGTCATTTTTAGTCATTGGATTGGAAAGGAGTAGCCATGGGAAGCCGTAGTGGCAAATGGTAATTTTTGGAGCAAGAGTTGTACGCTGGACGTACATGTGAGTACGCTAAGCGTACTAGGGCGCGCCTAGTACGCTGGGCGTACGTATATGTACGCAGGACGTACTAGTGTTTGGGTGAAACCCTAACTTTTAGGGTTTGTGGAGTATTTAAGCATCATTATGGCCTCCCCCCCCACCAATCTTTTCAGCCTCCAATTCTAGGATAGTTGTTGGCAAACCCTAACTCCTCTAGTGTGTGTGTATGAGTTAAGAGTGTGTTTCTTGTATGGTTGAAGGAGAAGTTAGTGCATCAAAGGAGTCAAGGAAGGAAGAAAGCTTATAGATCTAGGATTATCATCTTCTTTGGGAGCTTCAGGAAGTATAAAGCTTCTACCTTTATGTTTGGATTGCTTAGATATTGTTTTGGTAGCTTTTTAGTGTTCTTCTTGTCCCAAAAGTCCCATTGTTATGCATGCTTTGTTTTAGACGTTTTGAGTTGTCCTTTTAGAACCTAGTGTGACAACCGTCAAATTCAAGTCAAAGTCAAAGTCAACAAGTCAAACCGGTCAAACTTAACTAGTATTTGTATGTTAAACGTTATTCTATGTATAAAAATGTGCATTTGTATGTCAAAAATTCAAGTGTCTCGAAGAATCTATGTGTTAACAATGTAAAAACCCTAAAAAGGGAGTTGAACGCATCAAAACACGACTAAGGACCCTTTCGGGGACTTAAAACGATCATTAACGAAGCATAACGGGGTTCACGAACCTTGCATTACGAAATTATACGATAATAATGGCCAAGGTTAAATCTCTCCCAAATCTCTCTAAGAATGTGAAATCTCTCCCAAATCTCTCCAAGTATGTAAAATCTCTCCCAAATCTCTCCAAGCGTGTGAAATCCCTCCCAAATCTCTCTAAGAATGTGAAATCTCTCCAAGTATGTGAAATCTCTCCCAAATCTCTCCAAGTATGTGAAATCTCTCCCAAATCTCTCCAAGTATGTGAAACCTCTCCAAGTATGTGAAATCTCTCCCAAATCTCTCCAAGTATGTGAAATCTCTCCCAAATCTCTCCAAGTATGTGAAATCTCTCCCAAATCTCTCCAAGTATATGAAATCTCTCCAAGTATGTGAAATCTCTCCCAAAATCTCTCTCAAACTTTTTATGGTCATCCGGGTCATCCCGACCCTTAACTTGGTCAAAAATCACGCAAAACGAAAAGATTTCTCGAAAAACAGCTATATAGAACCGAAACCCCTCTTAAGGAGCCGAACCTCTTAGAAGCCGAACCTCTTAGGAGCCGAACCTCTTAGAAGTCGAACCTCTTAGGAGCCGAAACCCTTCTTAGGAGCCGAAATTGTCAGAAGCGAAAGTGTCAGAAGCCATCTCGGACCGAAGCCAGCAGCGAGGACCGAACTTCGGCCCCCCATCCGAGATCCTCGCATCCCCCACTTCGGACCTTCGGTCTTCCCCTCCTTCTCTCGGTTCCCTCTCGGTTCTCACACTCCTAAGAGCCGAACCTCGCAGGTTCGGTCCCTAATGCCGGTTTTCGACTACTTTTGCCTCCTAAGCCCGTTTTTGACGGGATTTTTTCACCAAATTCATATTTTTATCATTTTTAACCCCCAGAACTCTTATTTTAATTATTTTTCAAGGATTTACTAATTAAAAATCATTATTTTATAATAAGAAGAGTATTCTACCCCACAAGTGGGTCAAGTGTGTCCACTTGCCTCCTATGTGTCACTTTCTCGTTGGTCCAACCTTATCCACATCACACAAACCAAGACAAACATCCCTTCACCCTAGCCACTTGCTCCAGCAACCCTCCATATAAGGAAATGCCTGGGATTTCCTTGATCATTTGCTTCACCATCAAACATTATACACTTCTTAAACCATCAAGAGGGCCTTTTTTCTCTCAAACTTTCAGCCACACTTTTGATGTGTTCTGTGACAACCCGTAAAATTTTTACTTTTAAAGCCCAGTCAATCAACTCAACTGAGTGTCAGACTCATTGGTAATGAGTTCTAGCCTAGTTTAAGGTCATTCTAAGGAGTTTTAAGCCTAGTACACTTAAGGAATGAGTGTAGAATGTACCTGCTAGAGACACTGTCCAAGAAATCAAGCCTTAACCTTCTTATTGAGAGTTCACGGCCACAACACTTGAGTTTACGGCCGTAAACTCAAGGTGGGCCGTAAACTCCTCTTTTTAGACTCATATCCTTCATATTCTTCATTATTCTCATTTCCAAGTCAAGAAAGTCCCATTCTCTCTCAAGTATCATCCAACTTTTCATCTTAGATCTTCAAAAGTGTAAGTGTTCTTGCTCTAGTTTGTTGTTAATCCTTCTTAACTAGCTTCATCCTCATGATTCATCCATGGAAATCATGTTTTCTTAGATCTTCAAGAAACACCAAGAACACACACTAGTGTTCTTGGCCAAAACCGATCATTTCAAGCTTCTAGATCGTAAGTACTCTTCCCTATACTTCATATCTAGTAGGAGGCCTTGAATTACAACATTGAAACATGCCTTTTCCCATGAAGATCATGAGTTTACGGCCCAAGATCTTCCTTGACCGTAAACTCCATGTTATGGCATGTTTGGGCCTTAAACTCTTCCAACAATCAAACCTTTGACCTAGAACCCTTCCTTGATGGAAATAAGACCTTAAACTACCCTCAAATGCATAATGACCATGAGTTTACGGCTGTAAACTCCTTTGGGCCGTAAACTCATCAAAAGCCTTCTTTGTGTTGGTCTTTCTCATACTTGTGTAGAGCAAAAGTCCCTCAAGCTTCCCTAGCCTTCAAACCCACACTTATGCATGTTTGACCATGAGTTTACGGCCGTAAACTCCCTTGGCCGTAAACCCATGGTAGTAAACTCAAGTTAGTGCCATTCCACTTCCCTTTTATGAATCACATGTGATTCCAACACTTGGTCAAAGTGTTTCCTAGTCCAGGAAGGTGTTTCCTTTCATATAGTTGTTTATAAACACTATATTCATGCCAATATATGTCATTTAGGACTTGTTGTGTCTCGGGACTTCATTCGTGGAACTTCTCATCCTTACACGCATACCCGTTTGAATCACCCACATCAGGTGAGTTCATACCCCGTAATGAATCTTTTAACTGTTTTAAATGCTTTTAAGGGGGGGGGGGGAATACAAGTTGAACACAATGATAATTGTGTAACTCTTTGTTATA